CCCAAATTTTTTGTCATAATGAAATATTTGAATTAATATTATTATGAATACGGAATGTCACTACCCCAATTCATCCCGTGGGTGTCGTAAGAGCCGACTAAGGGCGCAAAATAACGCAGGACACCAGCACTGCAAAAAGACGGACACAAACCCTATACCAACCCGCCTGGCCAGCGTGGTATAGTAGGCCAAAACCTTCTTTCTAAGGAGAGGCCTATGTCCAGCAGTGGACTATTAAAGGCTGTTGATGTGATGTGTGATGTGATTACAACACATTATATTGATTTTGTAATATTCACCAAAGTAACGCAATGGAAGGAGTTAAGCATTAAGGTACCTACAGTAACATAAGTATGATGAAAAATTTACAGCAATATAATTCATATTGACGCACTATGTAATCGGGACTTAAAACATAGAGTGGGCAGCATAGTGACTACATGTCGTGATAGTGTCGCGGGACTCCTAGCAAGCAAGACCTTATTGAGAATTACGAATTGGAAATTCAGCATGATCGCATTTGTATTTATATTGGCTAAAACATGAATTTTTTGTAACTATTTGTTTGGATGTGAAAGGGAATGTGGAAATTTATTTCAAGGTATATAGATAATATATAACAAAATAAATTAAATAAATTAATATTTCACCAAAAGTCTACAATATCAATTAATTGCATCGAAAAGATGAACATAAACCAGGTGCGCTGGTTCTTATTCTAGACAATAAGGCGTGTCACGAAACGAACTCAATCGCCCACTTAGTTCACTATTATAGGGCAGAAACGCGATCGGCGCGCGCGCAGTCAGCGGCCGCTCGATAATAAGTGTAATTGCGTTATCTGCGTCCTTGTTTCGTCCTTGCTTTCACTGATAACGCCGTTCACCGAGGTTATCTCTTATATAATATGATTAAAATCGTCGAAAAGGTCAAGTTTTTTTGTTGACCCTTATTCCACTGAACTGATTTTTGACATTATGTACTGAAGATCGATTACTTGTTTATCTTGACTGATCCGTTCAAGGACGACCTGACAATCACATGTTCGCCAATACTTTCGAATTTTGGCTTTATTGCCTAATTGACGTTTTATAACCACTATTGTGAAGAAAACGTGATATGTTTTTTTGTAAAATCGATTGATGTTGAACTCAATGTTTCGCAATGTTGCAAATATGGAAAGAGTATATTTTGTAGGTCAGCGATCCCTACAATCGAATACACTTGTAATATGAATGTTTTGATGAGTTCTATGAACCAATGAACGGCGAGGATACGTCACAAGATTCTTCCTATTGGTGGAACAACGTCGTGTCCTTTTCAAGTTATCATCTTACATTAGAGACAAGTAATCATTGGTGGATACACAAATAAATCATTGGAGGTATTTAAAACAAACCTATGATGCTTGAGAGCGTGACTCTGCATAATGTAGCAATATACCTATGTACATTTACACAACAGTTTTAGCATGAAGCTCATCTTGTAAAAATAATTATGTATATAAAATCTTCTTAAGATCATACACTTAGTAAAAGTAACTTCAGTAAACTTTTGAATGTTCATTTTGCTACTTTTGTGTGTGCTGTAATTTGATCTCCAATTAATTTCTAGGGTTGAGTAAATGTTTTTAACAATCAATGGACAGTTTCAACAGTGAAACAATGAACAGGGATCTAGGTATGCGAAGTTCGGAAGTAATTAGGATTTATGATACTGACCTTCTTCTAATTATAGTGAGATTTTTATGCGTAAGTCTAATATGCTATTACTTCGAAAGTTCAACGTCAGAGGTTTTTATGCTTTCCTACCATATCTGCCAATTTTTGATGTTTTTGATTATTATTATTTAAAAAGACAACTTCCGCATTAGGAATAACATAATCTTTGTCTCGGGGGACTTTACAAACGTACATGACACGGACACAAATACATAAAGACCCAGAACAACAACTTCTGAATCACACAAAGTGTCATCCCATGTGGGGGTCGAACCCACAACACTCAGCGTAGTAGAAAGCGGCACTGCGACCGCTTAAACTACTACGCCATCCGTGCAGTTCATCGCTTTCGCGTCTAAGCGAAATAGGAATGCGCACAAACAGTGCAAAAGCCATTTGTTATTTCCCTTGACATATTATATTTGTATATTTATTTATGCAGTTTTAAGGAAATAGAGCTCCAAAACTTCTATTTCACTTTATCCATTTCCAAAAAAACTTGGTCTGGTTCTGGTTAGAGACTGATTTCAAAGACATCGTGTAGTGGTTATATATATAACATTATTTTATAACTTATGCATACACGAGACAGATATTTCTACAACATTCTATTAGCAACACCCAAATGAGTCATAATTTTAGTGAAACTTAAGAGTTTTGTAATGCGACACAGCTCTGTAATAACGAGAGTGCAATTACACAAATATGTCATAAAGCTAAGTCGTGATGACCCGACATCCACACTAATGTTGGCATTCCCACGTCTACGCTTAATTACTTAAGTAAATACCCTTGTATAATGACTTGTTTTTTATTAACCTCTCAAACATACATAGTGAGAGAAGATTCCAGCCTTGCTTTATGCCAGATATCACAATACTTTATCCATGATTATAAAAATTAGAACAACAGAATGAACCTCAACGAAATGGTCTGCGCTTCGTGGAATGGATATTATGTCTATCAGCAAACAATTTATACCACTAGTTTTATCAGCAGCTTACAAAGCATATAGTTTTAGGTATAAAACATAGCGACGTCCTACACTAAGTCAACTTGAAAGAAAGAAAATATATATTACAACCAAAAACACGACAGCTTTTACATAAAAAATTAGCATAAGGATTTCGTGTAGTAATCATTTCTGCTAAGCCGAAGGTCTATTAATATTCAAGGTTTAACGTTGACAATTTCTGTAACAGTCTATTGTGTAAGAGTTTATTCAAATTTTACCCTATTTTAGGCTATTCTCGATTATTCACTGTATTGTTTTTGTTTTTCGCTATTAGTAAGGTTCTGAAATGCATAATAACACAACAAAATTAATTATACTGTTTTATTTTTAATGCGTTTACAATAGATAATATTTATAATTGAACTTGAAATTAAATAGGTACAAGTGTACTTAGAATAGACGCGAGTTCATTGTGTCGAAACCCTAACAATAGTGCCTCCGAGTGATATGATAATTTGATTACAATATCTAGTTTTATATGAATTGCATTGCTTTTCTTTAAATTATTAATTTAAGCTTTATATTGGATGATAGGTAGATGCATTGTGTGAATCTACGTCCAAATTTTAAACTTTACTGAAGACTGCGACTGTGCTGTTTATGATGTACCGGATTCTTATTCACGTAAGTTTTACATGAATAAGATTTTTTCTCGCTATACAATTAAGGTTAAAGAAAAATCCTCAGTAACCTAAGATCATCATTTCATAATCTATTCTGTAGCATTTGAATATTTATCAATAAATATGAATGAATGAAGTGACTGACCTTATGAATTGAAGGTGTTTTACATTATTTTAACTAATCTATAATTGTTTCTATTTTTTTTACTTGTGTACGATTTGTTATGTGTGTGTGTGTGTATTGTGGTCGCAGATTTACAAGTGTTCCAAAGACGATTATAATAGCAATATAACATCATCCAGAGCTTACATTCTCGAAAACGATTTTCGTGAAAACGGTTGATGATGAAAATGCGACTGTTTAACTAATACCTACACGATAGGTAAGAAATAGCAATGTGATTTACGATTGAAATTCAGGAGGATTACATTAAGTAATGATATCTTACTACATTAACTAAAGATACATTTAGCTTTTAATACGATTCTTCTTACAATATCTAAAATTTTTGAGCTTCGATGTGTTAACACATGATATGCTTTTATCCCAACTCCTATGTACAACAACCATGTAAATAACAAATTTAACAAAATATTATTTTATTGTTTTATACGCAATAAAGTAACGATTTTATTCACAATGCCAATTGATCTGTTATTTATATTACGTTTCACTTCTCCTGAAAGCTTCTTCTAAACTAAATTTAATTTCAAATAATTTTGAAAACTTTGGTAGTATTTTTGACTAAACGAATTTTAATAAATTTACAAAATATAATAAACCAACCAATTTCGTATTTATGTATATTAATTAAATACAGAATTAATTGATGTCTAAAAAATAAAGCCAATTTACCACATTTTAAAATCATGGGACAATTTATATTCAATTCTCATATTTTTACCCATCAATTAATTTATTTTCTAGTTTACACAATAACAGACAAAACATGTTTAGGTATTTACAAGTTATAATGAAAATACGTTTTAAGTCAACTTTAAATCACAAGATATTAACTAGGAACAAATATCTAAGTTATCATCAAAACGATCTTTTCTTAACAAATCTATATCTTAAATTATTTTGTCATAATATAATTAAAATATGTATACAAAAAAAATTTTGTCATGCCACTTAGAATGTACTTTTCTAAAAATTTTACCATAAATAATGAAAAAACTATGATTTCTTTATGTTAAAGTTACTACGTGTAATAGTTATCGTTTTTTTATCTTAAAATACATTCTGACATCACACAGATTGCATAGTAAAGCGAAAAACATTGTTTATAGGTGCTAGTCACTGTGTATTTAAAGATAATTAAATCACATTTTTTTTCTTTTATAATAATCTCCAGAGGAGATATTATGTACAAAATCATATTGATCTCGGTGTAAAAAGTTAGAGAGACATCACTTCGTAAATTAGATTCGCATATTACCATTTACTAGTGATCTATGAACGTCGACTGACCAGTAGGTATATTTAGCCAAGCGTACAGCCTGCACTGCATAATATCTCAGAAATAAATAAAGCAACATTAGTTAACGATCTTATGACGTTCAAAATGTTAACAGTGTTTCTTAATCGAAGGGATGTGTCCAAAGCGGTGGCGGTGGTGGCAGCAGGTAGGCCGGCGGCTATGTCGTGATGGCGAGCGACGGGCGCGGCGCGGTGTGCGGCGCGTGCGGTGATGTCGCTGGCGAAGTGCGAGCTCCTGGTGAACATGTTACTTTACCCATAAACGACCTAATATCATCAAAATACGCATCCTCACGCTCAGTGTCAGCTGAACTTGGTGAATCGCCACCTTCGGCCTCGTGCTTCTTTAAGTGACGGTCGAGATTCGTCTGTTGTCCAAAACACCTTTCGCATAAGGGACACCGAAATGGTCTTTCCTTGTTGTGAATATTCCTTACGTGTCGTTGCAAGTTTGACGAAATTGAGAATGAGCGCTCGCAATATTTGCATTTGTAAGGTTGCTCGCCTGTGTGAGTACGTAAGTGACGTGTTAAATTTGCGCTTCGCGGGAACACCTTCCCGCAAAATTTACATGCGTAACGGTCTCGCAATTTTCCGGAACCTGAATTTAAATCTTGAAACTTAGCATAAGCACTGGGTTGCCTGTCAGGGCCGTCAGTACCGAGAAGTGGGGATAAAAAATTAAAAGGACTCGGGACGTAAGGAGAGTGTGTTGAATTCAATATCGATTCCGAAGAGTGAAACGACGAAAATCGTGACCTATACATAGCATCAATAATACTGCGATGCTGTGGATGAACGGGCATTGGGAATGCTATGGGTGGTGAAATAATTTGTGGAGGTGATTCTTCTCTTTTAGGTTCAACCCCCTCAACGTCAACATCTGTTGTATCATTCTCTGGAGTCTTGTTACGTTCTGCAGGACTCTCGGGTGGTGAGTAAGACTTTACCGAATTACGAAAACAACGATCATCATTGTCTACTTCCGAATCTTTGTCGTTCTGTTTCCTTGTAACAGATAAATCAAGCGGCTGGTCAGTTTCAACTTTTTTTGTGTCTTCTTCAACATCTGAATATTCTAAAGCCTTATCGTCTTCCATTGTATTCTTTGATAAATCTTTAGGTAGAGGTGATTCAGATTTGTTAGCCTGGATATCGTTGTTATTTAATTTAAGAGAAAAATTGAAAGGTGACTTCCTCTTCAATTCATCCTTTGAAAAGTTAAATGGTATTAATGGCGTAGTTAGTGGCATAACCGGTGATGGACGCTGTTGAGAACATGGTTCCTCGCCTGATGAAGGCGATTGTTTAGCATAAAGGCTTTGTGTTTTGGGTGTAACTCGATCTGTACTGTAGTTATCCCTTTTATTTTCAAACTCTATATCTTTAGATTTTTTCGCTTCTTCCAGAGAAGTTGAACTATCCATGCTTTTAACGGATAAGCGACCTTCCTGTTGCTTTGACATCAAATTAGCATTTGATAGAGCCATATCGTGTTCCATTGCAAGTCTAGTGCCTTGTACATTCAAAAATAGTGGGTTCAGAAACTCTGGCGGACATGCAGCTGCAGCCGCAGAAAAGAAAGCTGGATAGTTGGCAAATGTGTTATATGGGAGCGGTAGAGCAGGCCCCCGGTACATTGGGAATGGGTTGGTATTATTTGGAGTATTCATTCCGACGTTTGGTAGTGGCGGTATTTGTGGTAAACCTTGTGGCATTTGCCCTCTAAGATTGTGTGAAGCTGCAGCAGCGGTGTCACAAAATCGCTTATGTTTAGTTAGAGATGCATAAGACGTGAAAGATTGGCCACATTTAACGCATTCCACAAGTGCTCTGCAGGCGATGTGCATCCGCTTGTGACGACAGAGATTTGAGAACTGGGTGTAGGCCTGAAAAAATAAAATAATGTAACATTAAGTTTCTTATATAGAAATCTACTGCCGCCTACTGGATACATGCAACTCAAATGCATTACGGCCCCATGAATACACCCTTTGATTGAAAAAAGCAACTAAAGAATTGCTTATTATTGGTTTCTTGTGAGTCCGTGGCATCACTTCGGACGAACCGACTGATACGTACCGAAGCATACTCCCACGGTTAAGATATTTACGTTAGGCTAAAAAATGTGTTAAATTTAAATTTAATCCTTAATCATTTTTTTAAATGACTTAACCTCCTAAGACCCGCAGTACTCAAACGACGACGTAAATTTTATAAAAATCCTAAACAAACGCATAGGCACAAAGTTAAAATTAGTGCATTCTGGGACATAGGTAAGGATGTTGCCTTATGAAAAATAAATGCTTGGACATAGGTAAGGATGTTGCCTTATGAAAAATAAATGCTTGGAGCGGTTTCCGAACGCCTATCTATCACGGCGACAGTGACTGTTTGGACATGAGGAGCCTATATGTCGCACTGTGAGTTTTGATAATTTGATCCGTTGACAATTTACCTTTTTTTTAGTTTGATTGTTTTTTTTTTGTTGTGTAAAACAGGTAGAGGTAATATGTATTTACATTTAGATATCGTTATTTCAACGATAACGTCAAAACCACCTTTTTGCCATAAGCTTATTTTTTTATGTCATCACACGATCACATTAGTTCTCAATTCCAATTTTTCAATAACATTAGTTATGTCCGTATGTGATGACACCAGTTCTGTTTTCTTTTTTTTCTAGTACTGGCAGAAGAAGTTTTTTTACGATGGCAGAATGAAACTGACGGTGAGGCTTTATATGACGAAGAACATAACAATTTAAATATACCAACACATTTTGATGGGGAATCCAGTACAGGGCCAAAATGCCAGCGCATGATAGCAACTGTCTATGGGCAAGGAAGAGAAGGAGAATAAGAATACTGGAACCTAAACATAAAAGAAGGAACATGTTTATCAATCAAACCAATAGATTAATTTGGTTGGCTTATTGTCTGATAAGATACCAAGAGGTCTGGTTATAAAATTGAGGTGATAAAATGAAATAGATGTAATTTTCTCTCTCTCTCTCTCTCTCTTTTCTCATTATCTATCAGAAAAAACTGAAAATATCGAACATATCCAAAAAAAGGGTCTGGGTCTCAGGAGGTTAATACTGTAAACATGATCATTCCTGCTTTTTAAAAATAACGGCGTGGAACAAACAAACAGTCAATGGAAACAAAGTACACCGAAACGACTATTCTGAATTACACTAATTGGCCCATGTGGATTTTAATTCCCAACTTTGGACTATGTTAGAGTCGGTAAAGTAAATACTTTAACCACCTCACCATCCGTATAATAACACTTTCAATATAAAAAAAAAACAAACCAATATATATAAGTGTTGTGGGTTCGATCCCCACATGGGACATCACTTTGTGTGATACAAAAATTGTTGTCCCGAGCCTGGGTGTTCATTGTTTCCATTTCACATATGTTTGTAAAGTCCCCCTCAACTCAGGACTATATTCCAAGTGCGGGAGTTGTCTTTTAAAAAAAACATAAAGGAAATGAAAAGATCTCCAGCCCATAAAAATCGCTGCCAATTCTACAGAGGATTTGTAGGACTGTGTTTGAAGTAGGTTAGCAACACGTTCCCCCCTTACTAAGGAGAGGCCTATGTCCAGCAAGAGACTATTAAAGGCAGTTGATGTGTGATGTGGTACTACTTTTATACCTTGTCTTTAATTTATGGAGCTTGCATGATAACGATTCATATCCTGGTGATGCGAGCTTCCCTAAATTGTAGTACACTAGTGGTATATAAAAAAAAAACTCACCTTAAAGCAGACCTTGCACTGGAAGGGCTTGACACTGGAGTGTATGTGTGTATGCTGCTTCAGGCCGGAGGATGTAGCAAAGGTCTTGCCGCACTCAGGGCAGGCGTGGCTGCGGGCTCCAACGTGCTGCGCGCGGATGTGGCGCTGGAGGTTGGAAGGATCGGTAAATACCTGAAATAACATCAGGTTTCGCAAACGGTGAAATATAACCACCACAGACAATGACCCAGTTCATTAAGTTAAAAATGAATCGATATTTACTTATTGAGCAACATTGAAAAGGTGACTTGAACCAGGTATTTAATTTTTTGAGCTAGATAATATTTAAACGTAAATTTAATTGCAATAAATTTATCATAAAGTTCTACTTATATACTTATGTTAAACCATAAAAGCATCCACAAGTATTGGATTCACACCTTAGGACAGTTTTCGCAGGGATATTTCCTAATATCTGTATGCGCAAGCGCACGGTGACGCAGGTGTAGCGCTCGGGTGCTGTAGGCGCGGTTGCAGAGCTCGCAATGAAAAGCCGCTGCTGGTTGTGCGTGCTCCTGAATCAAGTGGCGATCAAGACTGAAACAAAATTCAACAAAACCTTATATAAAAATAACATCGACCCGCGTTAAATGTCAAGGCTGACAAAATTTCCCCTTGATATTGACATCCGTGTATATCTAGAGAAAGTTAGTACGAAAATACATGACGTAGGTGGGATGCGGAAGGTCGTTTAGATTTAGTAGATTTTTTCAAGGATAGTAGGATTCCAGTTTCCATATTGGAGTTTGTTTGTGCATTGACTTCTTTGTTGTAAGTTTTATGTTGTTTTATAGGCGTGTCCATTAGTCAAGTTGTGCCGATAACTTGGAACGATATAGCGTTAACTGCGTCTGGGGTTGACCCGATACAAGTATTATGTTGCCGCGTTGTCCTTCATACAACGTAAAAATTCTCACGGTTTATATGATAAAATATGATGTCAGTAATATTTTTGCGCAAGCGCAGTTGGTCCCTATTTTTTTTGAATAGTTATAATTAATAAAACTGCATTCACCGTGCCGACAAAAAGCGCAACAGGTAGACGACCACAGTAATCTTCATTTTAAATAATATTACATGAAATGTGAATTTTTGCAATATACTAATATTTTGTAAGACACTGTTATCTCTTTGACGTATTAATATAAAAATACATTGTTTTCATAAAAAATCACAAATAATCTTACCCTCAGAAGAAGTTTCGATAAACAACACAATATTATAATTCAGTAACTCAGTCGAAGTAAGTCTTGCCAGTGTCCAGGAAAGAAACATTCATAAACTAAGCTTAAATCACGGATATTTTCATACCGGTACTTTAACTTCATTTTACATACTAATTGTACTTTATCGCATACTACCAACGACTCTATTAGAAAGTAAGAAGATTACACTAACGAACTGGAATGGGGCCTCGGCGTCTAGATCTATGCGGTAATTATTTACACAAGGAGACAATATAATAACACTTTTATGAATAAAGATCGCCTACGCATAGATAACATACTTGATAATTAATTCATACTAGTAATCGCTTCAAGATACATCAATGTTCTGACTTCAGACGAATTAAAATAGACGCTAGTATTTTTTTTGATTAACAATGGTAGTTTAAACAGCCTCTGTTATGTGATCCCTTTTAACTATTATTTTTATCTGGAGGCGCTTGACAAAGATTTCTACTCTCTGCAAGAGTATGTTATGTAATACTTAAAACTGTTACCAAACGGAAAATGAGCTTTCATAAGCCGTTTGATCAGATACCAGGTACAGGTTCTGTCTAACCAATAATTTAAAAGACTAGCTATGTTTTTTTTTCTAATATGAAAAATTGAGCACTGTTAAATTAGTGGTTAAAGTATTCATAGGACAATCATATTGTTTATAAATTCGTAGTAACAATTTAAGAAATTTAATTTATTAAAAAATCTGCAAACGAGCGGGCTTATCGTATATGGTTATAAAATGACTCTCTATCTACGAATCACCATGGATGGAGAAAAAGCATATAGAAATGTACTACTGTAGTTTGTTTTTAATGAAATTGTAGACGTATGTTTAACAATCTTAATAGATTTTTTAGTGAGAGTTATGTATCTAGGATACTGTTATCACTGCCATAACACATGTGCTGACATTTGATGGAAAACGTATATCATTTGCGAAAACGGTATCGGTGACTCTCGTTGGCATAACTGGTCTGTTGCACGCAAAGCAACCCTTAACTACCTGAGGCGGTTTTCTAAAGCAGCACCTGTTAGACGTCACTAGACGCCTCTTATTATTAGTACAGATTCCATCGCTGGTTTTATTATGGAGTTTTATTGAAGAGTTCCCTTAACAAGTAGAACAAGTCGTCGAAGTCTCGATGGGCCGTTTTCACTGTTGCGCACGGCGGGCAGGCCATATCTTTTAATTAATCTAAGGAATAAATTCTACCATCAGTAATGCTTCCGTCCCTTACACTCGGCGTATCTTAGGTGTCGACTACTCTCTAATACCTCTGTTAAGGAATATTGAACATCTATACGGCGTCGTTTAATTGGAAACTGATACTTGAAAAGCAAGACTAATATTTAACAATACACTCAACTTGTGTTAGATCCATATAGTATACGTTTAACGAACTCACTATTGACAAAGACAAATAAAATACATTCAGACTCTTAAAAAATAACTATATCAAATAAATCATTATTCCTTAGGGGATCGAAAACGCAGTAGCCTGGCATAGAATCATGATCAGCATACTGCCGTCCACTGCTGAACGGCGGTCTCCTCCAAGGAGCGCCACGATGAACCGACGACTTGAGGAAAATGGCTAGCAGCGGCTGGATGCGGATTGCCTAAGGCCGAGATGACATGAAATGGTAACTTTTAAATTGATATTTAATTATGTCCATAAGTAATTATATAAAAACCTCCTAGATCACTAATTTAGAACAACTTGATGAACAACAATACGCAAGCAAAGAACTACTCTGTGACTAAATGATGAAACATGTTCCGACGACAGGTTGCAGGATCAACTACTTAAGAGAAAATAACAAAAAAAACCTTTATTGGGTAAAGTTGTTTGTCTTTAAGAATCATATATTCATTATCGTCTCCTGAACAAACGCCAACTATGAATGACATTTTTTTTTATGGTACAAGGGGCCAAATAATAGACGCGCCACCTGATAGTAAGTAATGACCGCCGCCCATGGACAACTGCTACTCAAGAGCCATAGGACGACATGCCTTTAAGCCTCTCCCCCTAGAATCAGGGGTAGACTGGGCTCCGTTAATTCTTGTGAGGCCGTGGTATTATTCCGGTCGAGCGTGCCCATTTACACCAAAGCGTGGCTCTCCCACGGTTAAATGTGAAGTACATCTAGGTAAACTCGAAGTGTCAACCAGGCAAACACGTAAATTTCATAATAGGTCAAGACAAACCAATACTCTCAAGACTTGGACCCTAACAAGTCCACAGCATCGTGAACGTACTATTAAAAAAGTTTGGATGAATAACCTAGAGAGACGTATGTGTGACATACATACAAACGTGTTTTCATACAGTAGGAAAAACCATTTAAGTGCAAATCTATAAATTTCACTTTCAATCAAATTAGACACGATATTTTAAAGCAACCTAAGGAATATTAAATAAAATTAAAGTTTAAAATTAAAACATAAATAATAAAGGTAGATAATAATAAAGTTGAGAGTGTTTTGTAAATTTGGAAGCTTACAGTCGACACGTGTAACTATCACCAAGAATCGTACTAAGAAACAAGTTTTACCTTCTTTGTTTTGCATTATTTTTCCAATGCATTGATGATAAGCCGAAGTTGAGATATGGGAATCCCCGACGAGTACTGTTTTAAGCTGGGTATTTATTATTGACTTACAACCGTATATATCTATATAATTGTATTTATAATGATGTTACCTTAGTTTTATGGAGAAAAAACATTAGTCATCATCGAAACGCAAATCGACATTAATATAAATAAACATGAACTCTAGACTTGAGTGTAGTAAGTTTGCAAGACATTAAGATGTAGGTATAAGACATAAAGATTTAATGAAGGCATCCGTATCAAATAGAAGTAAACAATTTTTTTATAGCTTTTAAGAAAGAATACTGTCAACTTATTATTTAATCACATACCACCTGCTAAACACATTATGTCTACACCCGAACTAAGCAGAACTGTTGAACAGTATACATTATTGATTAGAACCACCCAGACCCCTGTAAATAGTTAGTCCTACTTAATGTATAGATTTTTTTGTATCCATACAAATATTTGCACTAAACAGGAATCTAATCCGTGACCCAACAATGTTACAGTTAAATGCCGTACCGCCGCGCCACAGGATTTTTAAGTGTTAAGAACAGGTTCAACTCAGTGGCGTAATAGATGGGGGTTCGAAACCGCAACCACTTAATCGTGAGACTGACGCCTTAGAAATAAGCTACCACTACTTCAATATTAGGTTGAGGTGGTCTCTAGGCCGTACATAATGCTAAATGCTACATACGAGAAACAAATTGAAACATTCAAAATATTGCAACACATCATTCGAACGAGAGCGCAGTTCGTCTGGTGGCTATTTAGTAGATTTGTAATCAACTCACGCGCAATTCTGATACAAGCGTAGCCCCAGGGCTTCCTTGCAACAGCGCACTCTATCTACGCGTATGATCACCAATGGCGACTGTACGAACATTTTTTTCATTACAATAACATCTAAGTAAAGCTTTTTTATAGAACTGTTGTTGCGTAATTGTTGTAAGAACAAAACAGTTGCGTTTTATGTTTTACTCGGTTGCTACTATGCCTCTTTTAGTGTGTTGTCGATAAACAGTACCGCGTGTTTAACTAGCTCTAGACCCTGATTGTAATACACAAAATTATGTTGTGATGTGTTGTGATATACAAAATATGTAGTATTTATTACCTGTATATATTGATTAACTCGCTTTTCTGACATTATAAGGTAGATAGCCCTGTTGTACGGGAAACAATACATTTTTATGTTCCCGACCAATATATGCGTGCCGTTGGAAGACGACAACATAGACTCCTGTGCTGTCCGCCTACGTGGCGCTCTCCCCAGGCTGACCATAGCCCCACTGCTATAGCAATTAGGCTTATCAATGAGTTCCTTCAGAATAGTCCAGATGCAGATATATTTTTCGACTCCCAGAACATAATTTTAAAACATATTTATACATATCTAAATTTTAAAGAGTAATTTTATAGTTCCTAAGTTGATGTAAGGTTGTTTTTGTTTACAAATTTTATGTTGTTTCTTTTTGATGGTCTGAGTTTTACAATTGTAATAGTATTTAGTTTATTTTTGTTAAAATTAGCATAGATATAAGCGATTTGGTGTATACTGTGATGCTTATATTTTATTAATAAAGAATTGAATTATGTAAGAACAACCATAAAACGAAGGCCCTCAAAACTAACAAGAGTTAATCTATTTTCATAATACGAAAGAATAACGAGTGCTGAGATCGAGATTGAAAACGAACACGCTGTTCTCGTTGATATCCTCCGATAGTCCGATCATAGGAATAATCTACATGTTCACGAATTGATAACATCCAATGAACAACTTTCGTTCCGAGCCGATCTATTAAGCCCCACCCACACAAGCCACTGATACTAACTAACCGCTAAAATGACGCTACCTAGCCAAAACTAAGATACATCGTTTACAGTTCTCGCGAAACTTTTTTATGATTTATGACTTTACTTTTTTACTTTTTAAGTAGGTATGTGACTTGGTACAATTGAGGTTAGTCTCAGGAAATTGGGATTTGTATTTACTTGTAAAGAATATTTCAATTGACACACATTTTTTAGTTAGCAACTATCTTTAAATACATAATTTTATATACATATTCAAATTTAAAACCAATGTTGTGTGTTCGCTATGCTACAATGTTATTTTAAATAACCTTAATAGATCATTATTATTTTGTCTTTGGTATTGTGCAATAATATAGGATTGTTGGTTCATATTTTATTGTGAGAGAATAGTTAAATATCAAATTTTTACGCCTATTTCAAAGTCACATTTTAGTACCCCAACGGACTAATGATGTACTACCGACGAACGTGCTTACATTTTAATAATCGATTGTAAATCCCCGCTAGAGCCTAACAATCGGTTGAGTAATATCATAGCTCACTCTGTGTCCAAAAATATACTATCAATATAAACTATCAGGTAGAATACGGTTGTCTGCTTATAAATTATGTGACAGTCAAAGTTGTTGATATAAGGGTTCTAAGACATAATAATCATTGGTACTACAACATCGAAACCATTGCTCAACATTCACAATCAGAACATCAACGTCTCTCGTTAGTTACGATTCCTTAAGTTGAAGATAATGCATGTTTGCAAGTTTCGCGCCTTAATCTAAATCGTCACAGATTTAAATAACCGTCAAACAAATGAATAAGAACTTTATTGAATTATTATAAGTTACGAAGCAGTCGAGACTCAAGGTACCTACATCAATTAACAAATAAAAATAAACCTGCTTAGACAAATAATAATGACTGTACAAAAGAAGTGATCATAAGTAGCCTGTAATTTCGGTTTCAACTTCGCAATCGCTACTTGATCGATCTGATAAAGTATCAAGGTGTGATCGCGCCGATGAGCATTGGAAATGTGACAGAGCGCTGACGAAAGTAAGAGTGGAAGAAAGAAATTCGATAAGTACGATTACAATGTGATTTTGTAACCAAAATGATACATTACAATACGCTTGAACAAGTATCAAGAACGTTCGTGACTCTATAATTTAATATATCAATAATATGAATGAGTTGTAGGTATGTAAAATGTATTGTCCCGATACTACATATTATATTAAAGCATTACCGATGTCAGTAAGCTGGAATACGCGTAGTTTATTCGTGTGCCAAGTATGTTTTATATGAATCTAAAAATTATACATTTCAAGAAACACCAGAAATGTTTTAAGCTTAGGAAAAGTCTTACTCCAAGACTGTACGGTTTCCTGCAACTACCAAGTAGGAATAATACGTAGTTTTTGTTTCCAACATTTCTCATACTGTAGAAATGTTTTGTTTAATTTAGTTTATGGGGTAGTCCCATCCTTAGTCCAGTCTCCCATCCGAGTACTACGTTACTCGTACTTCTTTCGTTGCTTTTCACCGCGTAAGTGAGGTTACTGCAGTGCTGCAGTTACTGCAGTACTTCAGCACTGCCTGCAGACGCTGAGGCAGCGCTGTACGCAAGGCTGTTTCCTTAGAGAATAGCTGCTGGAGCCCTAACCCCTCCTCCCCAGATTCTGTAGTAGGGAAAAGTGCTCAAAGAGCGGCAACGCAACAGTGATTCTTGAGTTGCAGATGTCCAGTCTGCTAGTTTGCCCTCCTATATCTACCATAAAAAAATACAACAATGTATCGTACATCTAATTACTAATCGATCTCGCGATACGCTACAAACATTATAAACGTTTGAAACAATAGCGATGGCGCGATAAGAACGAGGATACGTTAGAACGGTGCATGTTGATAATCTCTATCTCTTGCATTATTGACGAGCCAGCGCCGCTTCGATAGAATATGATGACACACGCCATTATGGCCTTCCATCGCTTGTCACATAGATAATAAATTCATGATATACTTTCATTCGTGATGAGACGTTTAGTTTATTTGTTTTACTGATTTTATCGAGGCGCGTTGTGGGTTGTAGCTTCTATAATGATTATTACTATTTCTAGATAAACAACTTTCATTTTACTCCTACCCGAGAAGTTATTCATTGTACTGAAGTTTAATAAAGATACGTAACATAGTTTTAGAGTACTTCAGATATAGATGTATATTCCTATTTTCTAATTCGCTATCGAGAACTATAGCAGTACCTTAGCACATAGCTTACTTACTTTTTATCGCTTACCTAAATGTTAACCAATTTTAACTTATAAAACTAATGAAATACGACAACCTTGTACTATTTTCTAAAATAAATTGAGGCCTGATGAAGCGGGCATCCGGCACGTGTTTTGGCTGAAGCAATGATTCAGTCAAAGCAGAGATGGCATCGCGGCGCGTGCCATCGCCCCGCCTAGCAACAAATCACCGAAGTGTTTCTTATCGAATGGGTACATCACTAGCACTAAATAAATCGTTACTGCTCTCGAATAGCCATATAATATTAATGGTAGGAGGTTAATGATTTTAAAGACGTTTCAAATTGACATCTACTGGCGGACATCTTGAATTAACCGTTCGGATAGCACGTCCGATTGACTGATTTGATGAAATGATGACTGATATGATGAATCTATATTATTTTTATACGGCATGGTCTCTGTGAGCCAAAAATCTTTTACAAAATGTGTAGAATGAATCAGAAATACTAGTTCTAGAAAGTAGTTAAATAAAAATTCAAGACATTGACAATGTTTACTTACACATCTATATTAGGAAAGGCTGCGTCACAGATGTTGCACCTTGGCTCGGCGTCCTCTCTTTCCTCCTCCTCACCCTGGGGAAGTGAGCTGAATTTTTCAGAGGACAATGGACGTTCTGAAAAAAAAAGGTATAAGTATAAATATTTTTAGTCAAGTCACTCTGGTAGTTAGCGCGTTGACGACAATTCTAAGTAACCTGGAAACTTAGAAAGAACACGACACAACGTTACGTTCTGGGTTGATCATAGTCACTTGAGTTCCAGTAGCCCCCAGCCAAGTATTCATACTATCCTAATGTGTGTCGTATTTTATCGCTATGTCAAACCAAGGTTTCTTAGGCTTTTAATTTTGTAATAATCTCGAGGTGTGGCATAAAATGTTGTCCTATTTAAACAATTTATCAAATCGAAACATTTAAATACATTTAAAAAATATAGAAATCTAATTTAAACTAGATATTCCATTTAGGTTCTAATAAGATTTACTTAGATCTAGATAAATTAATAATAACACTTATAAGAACATATAGGACTATGTTATTCAATAGAGAGTGCAATCGCAAAAAGTTTCGTAAGTACATTATACATACGATTAACTCAACGATTCGGTGGCAACACATCATTTGTTAATTATCTCTAGTCATAGATAGTCATAGTCATAGATAGTTAATTATCTCTAGTCATAGATAGTCATAGTCATAGATAGTTAATTATCTCTAGTCATAGATAGTCATAGTCATAGATAGTTAATTGTCTCTAGTCATAGATAGTCATAGTCATAGATAGTTAATTATCTCTAGTCATAGATAGTCATAGTCATAGATAGTTAATTATCTCTAGTCATAGATAGTCATAGTCATAGATAGTTAATTATCTCTAGTCATAGATAGTCATAGTCATAGATAGTTAATTATCTCTAGTCGTAGATATAAGAGCAGTCTTATGTTTATAACGGTTTTTGAACTGTGCCTGAAGAGTTTTTTAATCGGTCTCAAAAATTTATAGAAGCTTTCAAGTATTTTATAAGAAATAGTGTAACTTGTGAGCAAAACATTAAATATCGCGTCTTAAAAGGAAATATACTAAATATAATTAATGTATAATTTTTGAGTGTACAAAATACTTGTTCACGTTCAGAACAAATTCTTTTAAAACGATTGCGTAAACATTTGATGGTAAACATAGATAGGCAATGATATCCTTATTATCAACTGATTTTTATTAATTTATAAATAGCCCAATTTGATTTACTAATCCTTCCAAAAGAATCATTTATTTTAACCGGGTAGTACACATTTGTCAAATAATTTAAAATAATCATAGGTACGTATTCAAATTCATACAGAGTACGAACAACAAGAAAAGCCTTCAAAAACGTTTCCTAAGACATAGTAATTATACTTAGTATCACACAATTATGTTATCTAGGAAATTGTTACATATCAAAAGAAAATAACCCTATAATAACAGCGTATAACTTGTCATACGTTGCCCACAATTGTCGTCACACTGACGTATGGGATCACGATCGGGGCGTCGGAAGTTTAGAACGAGGCGCATTGACACATGCAGAATTAATTCTAGTCACGACGAGTGAAACCACGCCTCGAGCATTGTCTAACAAGCCGCATCCGTGATAAGGCAAGGCTAAGATAACGCTGTGATATCATCGAACAAATATGAACTTATGAGTAATAAAAAAGGCATAAATGCAAACAGTGTTATGAACTAAACCGTATGAGTAAATTTGCAAAATCTATAAGTTACTATCAGGTAACATAACTTCCTTGATATTTTGAAAGACGCCGACCCTAGTCGGTTGTTGCTAAAAGTACATTTTACAGTAAAACTTTAAGTAGTGCACATTGGATATACATATTATTATGTTATGGGTTTTTATCACGTTTAAATTTTTAACTATTATTTATAGAAATATCTCTGTTTAACTTCAATAAAAAATAATGTTCTAAACACTAAGCAACGGTTAAATCACATACATTCAATTTGAGTCTTTGTTGTTTGTCTGTTTCTGAACGTTACTAAAAAAGATCTCATCTGAAAGTCAAGACGGTAGTTTCATCCCCTTCTATGTGTAACAGTTAATCCGAAAAAAATTGGTTCAGGCAGTCAAGTGCCGAATAGAACATTTTTTTGCATGGTAATTTAACATTTTGAAATTCAAAATAAAAAATTAAAAAGGTTTAATCCTAAAGACAAACATTTTTTTCTGAATGAGAAAGATAACGCATTGTCAAGTCTTTGAATAAATGTGTAGAACTTTATTAAGGGTGCATTAACATTTCATTCTTAACAAAATATTAATTTTCAGGTGCATTATTCGGCCAACTTTTTTTTTAAATATTTTTATGTTAGTAACTAATTTTGTCGTTGAGTATAATAAGATTATTTTTTTACTAATGTGAATGCTCCCTTAAATCTAAAGTCTTAGATAAATAAAACGCTAACATTACTACGTACCTTGATCACCGATACGCAATTTTCAAATTAAGTGAAAGATGTCACTGGAGAGCTGAAGATGTCACAAGAAGAGTAAAGGCCAAAGGTGAACTGAACTATGTGATGTCAATGCAGCACTGAAGTGTTTGTTACAAATTATCATGGGCCAGTCACACCCCCACCCCACCTGCCGTGTGAGGGTTAATATGCTCACTTGACCCGACCGATGGGGAAATATGGAAAATCATCTATGCGTGACTTAGGCACCGTTTGTGGTTTTAAACATTTTTTTTAATGAGTGATTAGAGATTTAAACTAAACAGTTAACGGTTATAAATACGGATAAGTCACGTTTTTTTTTTTATTTCATATATTCATTTATATATCTGGAAAGAGTAGAATAGAAGCACGAGTACGAAATGTCTTTGTGACAATTTACTATGTTATTGGTCACAAATGTGTCGTTTAACTAGGAATCATTTGGTCCTTTTTATCATCTGCTAGGTCCATTCACATGTTTTGCCCTATTACTGATAATTTCGTTACAGAAAAATTTGGAGGCAATTTACTCGATCGCTAACTTGAACCATCTATCAGCAGTTTAATTATCTATTTCAGTAAGTAACTAAGTAAAAAATTAATAACCTATGCAAAATTATGATCTATACTGTAGTTAGTTTATTGTATATCAAATCATATTATATATTGTATAACGAATAAAACATCATATTTAGCTTAATTTAACTAAAAAATATGGTATGCACCCCAACAATAGAAAAACCCGCTCAAAAAAAAATCTCTACCAATTAACGACATTTGAAATATTTTGTGCCGAAATCTGAGTAAATTTCTTGAGTGTATATTTACTATAAAATTCACAATACAGTATATCTAGTTTAAGTATGTATCATAATATTTATATATATAGTTAATATTACTTAGTATACCATTCGTCAGTGTATCTCTACGATTCAAGACATAATGCTACCGACATGGTAGTACAAACTAAAGCCATGCAACCATATCGAAATAAGTTTAATATTATCTAAATCAATACTCTACTATCTTTAATCGTCAGTTGTAACCTATTACATAAATTTTTCATATCATATAAGTCAGGGTGTGTGATCGTTAAGTTTTCCCACGACGTCACCAAATGGCGCGAGTTGCGCCCGCGCAGCGTGACGGTGACTTACCGATTTTGTAATGAATACAACCCCTAAACGACTACACCTGTTGCACTCATATAATTTTCGTTTGACTTGTATTTATTTCTTGTTATTTGAAAATAATTATGAACGTATGTGTCTTTTAATGGCTCTCTTGTTTACTAAATTTGAATTGAGAAAAGAAAGTTAGGAAAAGTTCCTAATAATTAGAAGTATTAACATGGTAAGTGGAAATAGAAAACTAAATCTATACCTACACAGTTAAGAACGCACGTCGGCAATCTAGTAAGACAATATATTATTAAAGCTTTGAAAACCTGAATATTTCTGTATCGGGATCAACACATCGTCAAAGATCAAACTACTTCAGTTTTACACCTCTACAAAATGAGGTGGGTAGTTCAATTCAATTCAATTCTAATTTTCTGTAACTACTAAGGAACAATCATGCCGATAATCTGTTGGTGTAGTTTACGATGCGTTCAGGGCTCGCTTCCTACGAGGAAATGAGTCCTATTTGCGCTCAAGGCAAGATCTTGGAACGCATCAGGTGCGTCGCACGCGCATGTTACCGTTACACCCCGTGGTGAAAACGGTCCCGCCGTATTATTAAGGTGGCACATTTACATTGATCTGAGATGAATCGCTTCAAGGAGAATTTCCTACAAGATTTAAAGTTAGTTACTTACTTAAATACTCGGCATATAAAGCATATCGGCATATAAAAGACCTTACAATCCATTGGTGATATAAATTTCAAAGCCTTTGCGATAAGAAGATAATTGAATTAATACATAAAAAAATCTCGCTCAAAGAGAATGTCCCAATTATCAGCCATATCAAATTAATTTAGTTGAAAAAATGTAAGGATAAAAAATGACAAACGGATTGTAAAATCACAAATCATGATTCTATTGTGGTCTGGAAATTATTCAATTTCGCGTAACATCAAGATAAAGGACGATCTAATCTCCACATAAAAGTCTGACAGAGGACTAGACTCAACCCTTTACTGGGGGTGGTGTTATTAAATTGAAATATTTCTATTTTATTGTGCGTAATATTTATTTGATTGTTAAATAAATACGCGATGTGGGACGCCGAGCGATTGTCGTTGGTTTAATGGGGGTGAGACCATTGTTGTTGGTTAATTTTTTGATTAATCATTCAGTTTGCGAGGGATATTGCAATTGTGTGAAGTTTAAATTTCTGCGTTTTCATTATTGCCCTTATTGCGTAATTATGGGACTTACACACTAGGTCTAACTCACGTAAATTGCCATACGGTTATTTTAAGACGTCATTTAAAATTTTGACTAATAGTAGTAGGAGTAGAGTAAAAACTGAACTTTAAAAGTACAATAAAATGGTTTTAAAACAATAAAAGGATTATTTTAAGACAAACGAAATTATAGTCAGGACCCGGTAATTCCGTTCAGTGGGATTTTCCTTATGACGACTCTTGTCACAAAATAACATTAAGCAATCGTAATCCATTTCTCTTATCAATATGGAAAATATTATTCAAAAGTCAGATAACAGGCACAATAGTGCGTGTGCCGCCGGACAAAGCAATGTCATCAATTTTAATCTGCGCGACAATTGCGCGATGACAAATGTCAACGTGCGCGACACTCATTCATTACGCGCACGAATGCACGCGGCCGATTTGAAAAAAGTTTAGCCAATGAAGGGTTAACTCTCTATTATTGTTATTGCATATGACGGGAGATGGATTATAATGATTATTATCGCTATGATAAAAAAAAAATATATTGACGCACGCGCAGTCAGCGTAACTATACCTACCTATAATATCAGGTTTTACAACGAAACAGCCAAAAAGTTGTAAACTACAATGTGTTATTATAAACTTATGTTGAAGTGTAGAACTCCTAAACTTAAAAATTATGAGAATAAGGCACAACGATGAGAATGACGAGACACATAAAGTACCCAAGTACTTTTACCTGTGCCAACCAAAAAATAGTCTTGAAGATAACGAATAAGTAGTCCACAGAATAACCTACTCGTATTGCCTCATTAAACGAATTATGTGAATCTAATCTATAATTATGATTATTTAATGCATTGATATGAAGATAGACAGATATTGTAGTTTACAACATGTAAGTGTAAGCTACTTAAAATTCATATTACTAAATGCCTCACCAGCCTATGGAAGGAATGAGGTTAGGCACAAAATGACCTTTATGAAAACATTTCTGTACCAATAAATCTGTGTCATTATTTATGATGTTTATTATCGGTGCTTATCTAGAGAATTTAAGGTGCCTAGCGATGCGGTAACAGATCGGTCCAGTCAGTATCTACGTATGTAAATAGTAGTCATAAATTAAACAAGGAGAGGTTATCGATCAGTAATGTCATTTAGATTACATTGTACATCTCTGGGTGGATTAATCCTTTGGCAAAAAAAAAACATGGAAAAGTTATCCCATGAGCGATATTTGAGTTGTGATGGAGACATCATCAATCAAGTCTTATGCAATTGAATCGGGTGCCGAGCATTATGACAAATTGATAAATGCTCCAATGCTGCAAATCGTTTCTAATTATGGACATTTAAGAGTAATTGTGGAATATTGAAATGTCATGCAGTACATTTGTGGAGGATGTGCGTATGTGGGTGCCGAGTGTGGTCATCGAAGTATAAATTACCCGTGCAATATGTGATATAACGAACAATTACGAAACTACCATAGGGTTACAGTTGCTAATAAATCATAAATATTTGACAGTAAAATGTTGTTTCTGTAAAGAGACATATTCTGAATGATTTTTTCTCTCCTATCTGAAATGACGACGATTTTTTCTATTTTACTGATCCAAGAACATACTGTCTACTTGGAAGAATCTGCCGGTTCTACAGCTACACATAGCTACAGTAAGTTATCTGTTATATCCCAATAAATCTTCCTAAGAGCCTTAACGATTGTCACAAATATATAAATTAGAAATTTAGTTTCAAATATATACCTAAAAATAGATTTAGAAATCTATAATTGATTTACCTATATTTCTATTTAATATATTTTTAACACATGATCAAAAAAGGTCATCGCATTTCTTCATTTACCTAATAACAGTAAACTGATTATTTGAAGTCCCCAAATACAATATAAAACGAACGCGTAACGCTCTAACACAATTACAGAAGGCGACAATTACGCGTAATTCGAACGGCATAAATCAACCGCCTAGGACCGGGTGCGACGCTGACACACCGGAAGGCGTTACAGGAAGCACTGAAGACCCTTTACAATAACATAATAATATCTGGAAGTGACAACGTAGGATGAACGTGAAGAACTTCAAAGCTCTTTTGCTCAAGTTGAAAAGTTAAAAATAGCTTTCTGTAAACGGAACGGTCTACTTCTAGATGAAGTTATTTTTTAATTGCGATAAATTACACATTTTGCGTCAATTCATTCACAATATTGAGGAGGAGGAATAGATATAGATATAGACAAATATAGATCTAACAAAAGATACATTACCAATCAACAAACACACAGAAATAAATACAAGACAAAAATTTATTGTGAATTACAAAAACTAAAATCTGCAAACCAAAAATCTTTGACGACGTAACGATCTTTTTTTCACCACTGTTTCAACTCAAAGTAAAGTACCTACATATTATGTAAACAGCGTGTAACATAATTTTATTTTATTGTCAGATGCTTTAGAAAAACAATATGTATCCTGGCACTGATTAATAATTTTAAAACACTAAGTTCAGTGAAAATCAAAGAATTGAAGTCTTATTCACTGTAAATAGTGGCTACACCTTCCAGTAAGTCATAATCAAAGGTTATTAAATTCGCCCTCGCATTAACAAAGCATATGCGTGATTTTTCACTGCACGGTCGCGCGACGGCGCGTACGTCGCGATTTATCTAAATTAAATATCGCATGCGCGCCTGGCACCGGTGTGTCCAAGCCCTTACATGACTTTTTAAAATAAAGTATGTTGTTTTATTTGTATTGGGTATATAAGACAATATTTCTAATAATAATCACGATTTCGTTGGCTTTTTTCTGTTCTTTTATTAATAGGACATGTCTTGCGTATGTCATTATTTTAGCACTGGTATTTAGAACAGTGATGGATATTTCGTCATTCTTGATAATCTTAATAATAGTTCAGCGGAATAGAATGTGGCGTATTATAATTAGTAATAGTAAATTATATAATAGTGCTCATAGCATATTATTTGCCTATTGATATTTCTACTAACTGTAACTAGAACTCAAGCGAAAGCCATGAATGGATCTAAATTCCGTAACTAATTCAATTCTCAGAATTATTTGAATGATGCCTATTAATATAAAGGGTATTAGTTACTACACAAATTTCCTTAGCAACATTTTAATTTTGGGCACTGTTACTTATTTATATTACCGATAAGTATATAGAAAACCACATACGGGAAATAAAATATCATCTATTATAATTATTATCGCCTCTGGGTATTTTATTTACAACGCAAAGAATAATAACTTGAATTACGGTTTCTCCAATGTAACCATGATAATTCTCGATTGATTTCATACAAAGTAAACTGCTGCCTTAACGTTAATGTAACGTTAAAATATATAATAATAATAAAAATCATAATAACAGGAACACGACTTCTTAACTAAAAGCTAGGACTTGATACTAACACTAGCCATAGTGATAGAGCTTCAAGCCAACCATTTAACAAAATATTACCAAAATGAATATAACTAGATAAAACACAAAATAATATTTTGAAAAACGATATAACAAAATCTAAAAACAAAAACCAAAGCTTCATAAACGAATTATAAAAAAGTGAAGTTTTAGCGAACGATTCGGGAACACTTGGGAAGTTTTTAGGAGAAACCCATGTTCAGAGTTGAACGTTTCATGACTGAGGTGAGGATATTGCTTAAATTATGTCCTTCAGTTATTAAAAATATACTAGATGAGTATAAAATCAAATCGGCCTGTATCAAGGGTGGTATATGACCTGGGGAAGCAAGTCCACTAGTGCAGAGGGCAGGTGACTCCAATTAAGTCCCGCCCTGCAGGCATCGGAGCGTGAACGCGCGTGACCGTGATTCAACCGTCTCGGTAGTCAATGTGAGAATCGGAGCTACGGACCAGAGTGTCCGTTAGGTAGATTGACTTACATTTAATTATATTCACTAATCTGTAAGCTGCACTTGTTCAAACTTCTTTTGTTTTATAACAAAATATTTCTAATAATCGGTCTTCGTTCAAATTCTGACTCAGTGTAGAACATAAATATCCTGTGTAAGCCAACGTGTTTGACAACGAACTAGTACAAATACACTGGTTATTTATGATGCTTGTTGTTCTGGATAACTTTAAATGTGAATTCATAAAGTTCGACTTCAGAAATCCGCGCAATATGAAGTGCTTGTTCATAGTTCGCTATTGAAGCAACGCTATCAAACAGTAGTAATACCTACAAGCAGTATCACTCCTCTGCTTTTTATCTTATAAGATAGAGGTTATTTCTATCGCCTTGAATGAATTTAAGATTTAGTTCTAGTATATTTTTTTTATTAATTAAAACGTTATAACTATTTCTATATATAACTTTGTTTGAATTCTGTTAAACATATAAATAACAGAATTCATAATGACACTAATTTAAGGAAGTCTCTTTCAATTATATAATAAAATATAAAAAATAAAAATAGAAACTAGCCAGGGACTTCGTCCGCGTGGTGGTCGACATCAGACATCGTAGACTATACGCTACTACCAAAAGTAACGATGTTTCATATAAATTTCCAATCTCATGTTGAACAATTAGGGGTTTAATTTAAAAATGCTTTCTTACTGCACGCCTACATCACCCAAAGAACACTTGTGCAACATTTTTTGCTTCTAGACTCAGCGGTTGCAACTGCGCGTCGATCGATCAGTCAGTGAATCAGTCTGTCCGTTTCTTCCTTTATAGATGTAGATTGACTGACAAATAAATAGTCTTTATTTTAAAAGAACTTCACCGTAACCTATTTTAGTGAAACATGCCATAAAGCTAAACACCTTCAGTACCCATAGACTACGTATATAAACCTCCTCAAAAAACGAAATGGTTGTAAGTAAGCATGCTCACTTACTACAAAAATAAATATAAAATAGTTTTAATATATAAACTAAATGTGCATTACATTCACAAACCTACTTATATTCGATGTTGTTCACTTCTTAGCTTGTTTCTTATAAAGATGTATAAATTTCCTTCGTCATGAATTTTTTTGCAGAAAATAACCTCAAATAAGAAAATGTACAGATAAGCAATACGAACAAAGAAAGAGCCTATCAGTTAGTCAGATAACGGACAAATAAAAGTTTAAAAATGTAGCTTCAGATTTTGAAACCTATGATTATTATATATATATAACCTATTATTGTACACCTAATGTTCATTTGTAAACTTACCAGGAGATGGCATAACATCTTGTAGGGGCAATGGAGTTCTGGGACCCAGGAGCAATTCCTGACCAGAAGGGATTTCTCGTACTACCTTGTACCACACCTGTAAAATGCAATGATGAATATTATGTTAAAGTTTATATATTAATAGGTTGAATAATAATTGGAAGCCTGATTAGGATAAAACTTTCGGTACAACTAACAGTATTTCATAGTATTAAATGAATTAAATGTGTTAAGCAGTAGTTAAAAATTAGGTACCTATATCTTACCAACGGCTCGTAAGCATTGTGAGTCAAGTAATATTTATACAATTAGACCTTATTTATCAACATAGATCACAAAACATAGAAAACCTCAAATAGTTTTGCAGTACAGTACATAGTAGGTAGTTTCAAATAAACAAAAAGTTTTGGTCCTACATTTAAGGTTATAGTTACAGTACTAAAAAGTTAAAGTTAAGTTAGTTGTAAAGATAGTAAAGTTAATTTTTTTTAACGGCCAGAGCCTCTCCTGTAAAATTGAACTTTTGTAAATACACTAAACAGAGGACCCGTTATATACCTACTTATATTTTATATTTACTTATTGTTGTAAATTTACTTACATTCTCAGGAAACTTTGTTCGTGTTAAAAATCAATATTACCGGTCTGTCTTTTTGTAGTATTATTATTAAAAACAACTGATATCTGAGAAACATTTCATAAAGACCATACTTTCCTCTCATAGCCAAGGACTCTTTCTCAATTAAGTATACCTAGGTAAGTTTGTAGGCTCTTACCTTTAGAATGTTACCATTTCATATTACAGATATGGTATATGATATTCTCCTTAACCCATTCGTATAAGCAATATCCTACCTATTCCTTCTAACCTTTTGTTGCAATAATATGAATTAGTAGAAGATACCAAAGAAGAATAAGAGAACAAAATAATCTAAATCTAAAGAATCTAATAAAAGTAGTTTTACTTTTAACATATAGATAATTCCAATAATGATTTTTTAACTTAAGAAAATAAATTTTATATAAACCAAAAACAAATGGAAAAAATACCGACTTGTTCCAAAATCTTTTTAAATCAGAACAAAATCTTTACCATAACACCGAATCTCATAGATGCATGTTATAATAGTCCTCATTCAATAATTTTACCGCAATACCTATAGGGTGTACTCAAATTTCAAATAACGTTTAACCTCAGCTCACATAAATGTACCCTAAATAAGAGAATCTAATCACCGCATCTGTTCGCTCCCCTCACTGACCGGAAGTACCATACAGTTGTTCAGTACACCGATTTTCTGCCACCGGAAGTACCAACGTTCCACATTCAAATTTAATTGGGGTAGTGACACAATGAACTCGGGATCGTTGTGATAATCGTTAGTTGATTTCTTAGTTATTAATTTTAGTTTGCCAAATAAAGGTATATAATACTTTAAAAGGATTCTGTAAAGTGCTTTAGTTTAGTGCTTTAATTCAGATTAAGTATTACAGTACACATTAAGATAAGAGGTTTACGCTGAGTGATGTCGAAGTTAAATATAAATTAAGGGAGATTTTCGCGTTGGTTACCAGCCAATATCAGCCAACATATTAAGAAGTCGATAGCAGAAGAAAGTTACACGAAAAAAATATGAAAAACAAATTGCAAACGATCGTACTTGGCCTGCCAGCAAGAGATGCTGCACGTTCACATCGTGAGGGTAGTTAGTAAAGCGCACCAGCTTCAACCAGTTACTCTTTTCTGTGGTGCCATCCAGCCAGCCGCGAACGCCATTCTTGCCAAGAACCTGCAAGTAGATTGACGTTAGTATGATGAGTATATAAAAGTTCTAGATATGATAAAAAAAAAACAAATAAAGAACAGTACCTTCCAATATAAATATTTTTTCCTAAACTTTAATTACTACTTTTAATGGATTAAATTTATTAAGAAATAACCTCAACTAAAAAATTACTCTTTTTCCAAACAGAACACAAAAAAAAAGCTTTTGTAAAAGAACTGAAACGCGCCATCTAGAGGTATTTCTAAGAACTTACTGCACAATGACTTAAGTTGATTACAGTGTTTCGCTTTGAAAGGAGGCAAATAAGTTTAGACATAAATTATTGTGTAGTAGTAGTATCATTTGCTGTGAAGATGAACACGATAATTTTTATATTTAATGCCTAAAAAGTATTTACAAATCAGTGTTTCTGTCTCAAGAGCTTAATAACCAAAAAGTAGTTAAATGGTAAATTAAAAAAAAAAACTATTCTTATCTAAACAACTTAATAATCTTCTCTCTAGCATGTTACACATAAAACAACTTAAATATTATACTATTAGTGTAATCGTAATAATATTTCTTATCGTTTCAAGCGCCCTCTTCTCATTCATATTGACAACCATAGTAAATGGACATCGCCTGACCACAATAGATGGCGCTATTAGTCCACGTCGCGATGTAACACCGATGTCACAGCTTGTCCATTTGTCATTTTACCTCCCCAAATCTAACAGAACCCCTTGTACCGATGAATTAATTTTTATAAATATCTCTTTTCGAGGATTATAAATCTGTTTTTTATTACGTGCTGTGTTTGAATAATACTTTTGAATTTAATTTAGAATATTTATAGGGGCTATAATGTTGTTTTAACTTTTAAATTGTACGTTTTGCTACTAAGATTTCGTATGTTTTGTGATCTTTATATATATATATATGTAAATACATATATGGTCAATGGGTCAATGTGGTAACCACTTAAACATAATTCAAAGGTGGATTTTTTCCAGTTTTAAAGTATCTAGGTAAAGATAATCTCTTGAGCATCTTTCCCTGAATATTGCGTTCTTATCCGATTTTATTAGTTTCTTGATTCGAAAAACCAGTTCAGAAAAAAACTAAGGAATTAAAATTAAGAACTTGATTAATGAAATTCTCACATGAGAAAATAGTGCTAACTTTAAAAGCCGTTGATAATAAAGAGTTTTGAAATTCTTTATACTTTTATCATCAATTCAATTAAATCTCGGTCATTTCTTACAAATCTAGGATGAAATGGTTTCCAAGACACTCCATGATGGGAGAAACCCAACTTTTTAATTACTTAATGCTCGTTCGGTATATTTTATGTAGGTATCTCTGTATGTTCAACAATGTAAAATACAATAGTATCACTACATATGTTTATATCACAACTATTTTTAAAGTACGTTTTTTGTTTGTTACTGTCAAAATGATCAACTTATTTACGTTAATAATTTAGAAAAATGCTCTAATGTCTTTAAACCCAACATACGGAAACTCGGCCTCTCAGAAAACCGGTGTTAAGCAATTCTTTCGTTGCCTTTCACTGAGTGAGTGAGGTTACCGGAGCCCAAATCTCCCTCCGCCCGCTGACTTGAGCGGGAGGGACCCCAAGGGCGGCAATGCACTTGTGACTTTTGAGTTGCAGGTGCCCATGGGCGGCGGTAGTTGCTTACCATCAGGTGACCCGTCTGCTCTTTTGCCCCCTTATACAATAAAGAAAAAAACTCATCCAAAAACATAACCGTATTCCATGTAAATGGTGTAAAATAACAGGGTTGTATCAACATAAAAACATCCTCGAGGTAACAAGGGGTGCAGAGCATGTTATTTGCGGACGGACACTCAAGTTTCCCTCTAATAAGCATTCGATTGAGTCATAATACCAATAACGGTATTTTATGAAGATGTGTACCTTCCCGACAGGGGCAACTTGTTTGTGCGTTAAATTGGGGGTATTTAAACTTGATCTATTGCTTCGGTAAATAGTCAAGCCGAGGGTGTAGGTGATATTGATCTAAAACTATACATAATTTAGTGGAGACTGGTCGAATATCCAGTTTTAATGAAATAACCGATCAATTTTCATATTTACGTGATTGTTGTCCCTTTGGGGCTATCCAGTATTTAAATACTAAGTTGGTAGTTATAATTCGAGCGATTGTCATATCGGTTACCGGGTTGGACAAATTGTTAATAGCTTTTTTTTTTCTATTAGAAGATAATTGTTGGTTCTTGGATTCATACTGGAAACATATGCACCTACCCAGCGGTAGAAGTCGGAAGTACCTAGCCTAGGGAATGTAGCCATGCCTATAATTTAGACTAGAACTTTACATTTTGTAATTTAAAGTATATAATATAATCTAACATTTAATGCATTTGTTACATTGATACATTAAATATGAAAATGTGATGTTAATGTTTCTGGCTCTATCTACGAACCAAACCACGGACATGTTTTGACAAGAGTAATTACAAAAGTGTAATTTTCGAAATACAGTTTAAACAATAATTGCGATTCGGAAGTGAAAATTTGTCACGTATTGCGCCACAAACAAATTAGCAGCGCAACATCTGACAAGGCATTAATACGACGGAACAAGATGGCTAATTTAGCGTAAAATTGAAACACGATCCCCGCTTTATCTTTACAGGCAGAGAAAAAGTCTTAAAGAAAATTACTTGAAAATAAAAAGCATCTGTTGCAATGAAAGTAACATAACAAGTGAGGTATTAATCAAACGTGGATTCGTTCGGAAACCCTCCGGTTTACGCGTCACCGGCAAGCCTTCCGCGGCATTTATCACGTTATTAAAACTTGCGTCGGGTGTGCTCAGTAAAAAAGATAATTATCTTAGAGCACCCTCGTCTTATGTAGGGTTGGCGATTTTACGCTGTTTTGCTAAAATATCTTAATTCTATATTAACAAAACAACGCGAGACAACATTATCTATTTACATCAACTAAATTTTAATTTTTAGTATTGTTACGCTAATAAAAAGGCACTTTAAGGTAAGAATTTAAAATTAGATTGAAATAAAATGATCGACGTAGATCATAAAGGATATCTATAATAATACTTATTAGCGACACAGGGCCGTAACAGAGAGTTTAATGGCCACTAAAATTAAACAACACTGTCATTCTCATTAACTACCCGACACCGTAGCCAAAAGCGTAACAATATTGCAGCTTACGCCTGATACTATTTATAGAGCGATTCGAATGTTGCCGAAAATTACAGAAAATAATCGAATATGAAAATTGGCTCAACCCTGTTGGTAGTACGGGCGATGAGTTGGCGGGTGCCGACGGCATGTGTTCGCAATCACTCATCGATGCCAACCGGTCAAGGATGACGATTGCGTGGACACTTGTTACCGTTGCTAACGGTTACCCCTACATGTGATATATGGGCTAGACAGATTAATATTTTGGCTGATGACAGATATCACCTCCAAAAGTATAAATAACTAAAATCCATTAGAATGTAGCCTTTATTCTTAATTTAAATATTTCAAAACATGAAAGAAAGTTCTGTAAAAATATACGTTATAGGTTTGTTCAAATTCCAATTACCTACTTACATTAGGATTCGTAGAGCGAGTGCACAAAGCTTTAGAGTAGTATATTATAAAAACTCGACCGCAATTTAAACGAACTGCGGGTAGATCTCATATTTTGCACTGAGCGCAGAGATCGCAATTTCCCGCTACACTCGGAAAAGCTACAAATGTTCGTGACTCGTTCTCGTCAGAAAATTACATTTCATAAATTTTAGTGATGTAAAATAAATCGATATATTTTTATCTCATTAGTGCGAGATAGGTTATACATTTACGTTTTTTTTTTCGGATGCAGGCCGCAATCAACCGTCCCCGCTGGAAATCATTGGGAGAGGCCTATGTCCAGCAGTGGACAAGCATAGGCTGAGAAGAAGAAGAAGAAGGTTATACATTTAGCATAATACAAAATTAACATACATTGAAAGTGAAAATTTATAAATTAATTCGATAATAAAACAAATGGTCATTTTAGGTATATAAAAATTTTACAGTCAACGGACTATTATACTTTATGTTCACAATCGTATTTAAAGATTGAATGCGGAAACAAAAAAAAATTGACAACAATACCTAGAAATTGAGAAATCAAGAACTACGAATGTTAAAAACAATGTAAAACTCTCTATTCACTTTTCCACATCGATATAACGTTTGCCCCACCACTACCGTTAACTGAAGAGCGTTTCTCAGCGCGGTTTGCAGGGATCACGCGTCGTTGCCCGAATCACACGTCTCGTTTCACAAGATAACAATTTGTGAGCAATGTGCGCGCTTATTTACCCTGTAGGTACGCGCCTGTGCCAAATTGGAACCGCTCTACCTTATTTATGTATGTGTGGCTTTGGGTTACCTATGGGTTTCGTTGGTTTTGGCAAGAGTAAACTCTTAATATTTGAACAGTCAAATCAGGAAGGGGATGTAGAGCCATTGTTTTCGGTCAGAGTACTGCAAGTATAAAGTCACTACAAACATTATCAATTTAAATTTAAAATTCCTTATTTTCAATTGAAAAAAAAACAAGTTCATAACAATTAATTCTTCCATAAAATAGTGACATGCTTTAGAAGTGAATATTTTACAACTTTTAAAATTTTAGGAGAAAGAGGTTTCTATTCGAATTAAAGCCTGGTCTAACACTGACGACTGCAACTAGCTAGCCTGATCTGGTCCTGAACCTGATCTGGACTTCTATAATTAATGTTGGTATGTAGTGCATTAAGACCTAGAAGTATACCTGGATAGTTTAATTTTGTACCGGTTTTACCAAATAAATCACTTAATGAAAGCTGCTGACAGACGGAAAAAATCTATTTAACAAGAAAATAAAGAAATGTAGATAAAACAACCCTCTTGAAGGCTCTATATATCTTGCTCACATTTCCACGATTTCCTTCACTTGTCTAGTTTATCAGCTACGGAAAAGCATT